AGTAGTTTACACATAGGTAAATCTTTTTTTTTAAACTTAGATGGTATCATCGATTCCAGGGCCATAAGAGGGACCTTGTGCAGGATCCCTAGCTTCCAGTAAGTCCAGCTGGTGTTGTCGTCGAGCCATTCTTTCTTCGCGCGTGCTCCCTAGCGCTCTCGCGTTGGAGATCATCACACGCTCTGCGTCCTCTTTCTCAGCATAATTATGAGCTGAGGTGCCTAATGAAAGCCCTAATGCACTCATCATGTGTAACAATGATGTTGTACCTTCATTATATGTTGCAGCTGCAATGTAAGCCGCTATTTCAACAACTTTAGAGCCACATGGAACAATTTTCGGACTTATTTTCCAGATTAACTGATTGTAACTTTCATTGTTATTTTGTGTGAATCCACCTACACCTTTCCAATAAATTTTCGTTGCTAAGGTTTTCGTAAATTGGATATATAGCTTTGGCAACATCAGCTGGTAAAGCTGGATAATCATGGGTGTAAGAAGATAATGTATCTGTTGCTAGCGCTTGCTGCCAAGTACACCATGAACCTTCTCCACCTGGGCACATTTCGTGTTGAGGATTCTCATCGGTCGAACAATAGTGATAATAAGTTCCCCAAATTGCATTATACATACTGTTCACAGAATCACAATTTCTTCTTATTGCCAAACCGTAATAAACTGTCAGCTTATCTATTAGCTTAGCTGTGAGCTTACCTTTTCCAGAAAGTACTTTTTTATTAATTGTTTTTCCGTCTTTTTCTATTGATTCAGTCTTGTTTTTTACTAGGTCGCGGAGTCGTGAGCCCATCCTCTTTTGAACATGCCCGATACATTCTTTTTTAACAATTTCATAGTCATTATAAGGAGCAGCTTTCAGTAACCCAGAATATGTTTTTGAATCGCCATCACCTATATAGTTTTTATAACGAACTTGGAATTTTTCGATTGAACGCTTGAACATTTCAATAACAGAATCGACTTCCATTTTACCTGAAGAGCCATTGTGATTCGCAGCACAAGTTTTTTTATGTTCATCGTGCCACTCAGTATACTCTTCAGTACCTTTTTTAGGTTTCCAAACCTCACACTGCTTACAGTAAGAACTTTTCACTACTATATCAATGATTTTTCCAGTGTAATATCCAATCAATTATGTCACTCCATATAAAGAAGAATACTCTCGCTTCTTCCAGATTCCGTCACCCGAAACTGTTAGTTCTCCATCACTTTGGTCACCTTGGTTTCCAGCAGTCGCTTCTTTTTCCTCAGTACAGGCTTTTTCAAACAGTTTTTCAGCTGCTATTTTCACACAAGAATGAATGTTCTCAATAATCAAGTCATAAGTGTTTTGTGTTAAAAAAGCAGGCATATCCATCAAGCCACAAAATTTAGCTGCGCCTTTTAATCCTAGTCCCAGAATTCTCATCACAAATATAAATCTTCTGTTTATTTCGTAAGAATGCTTGACAAAAGGGCTGGAGTTTATCACACGATTCTCACAGTTATCACACAGTACAACGATTTTAAAACCAAGTCCACGGGTAGAAGCAGTTTCAAATTTTATGTTTCCCTTACAAGACTTACATTGCACATATTCACTTATCGCAGCAAATACTGTAATGAAGTTTAGAATTCTATATTCAATCGAAGGATCACGTGAAACTAAAATCTCTTTCTGCATTTTAAATTTTTTCGCAGACGCACTAAAACTACTTTCATCCGTTTCAGTAGTCTTTGGATTAAAAGTCTGTGTTCTCTTTTTTCTTCTAGATAATTGGACATTTTCGGTACTTCTGCGAGATCTCGAACATTTACGAGGCATTTTTTTAATGTTTAAATAAAATTCACTAGTAAGTTTAAACTGAACGCATGACTTTACCACTTGGCAGTACAATTTAGACTGACGAAACACTTTTTTTAGGTTATAATATAACTGCACGTGACCTTCAAGTCTTTAGTATATCTGACTATTATACTCGTATTTTACAAGAAAACAATAGAATAATAAAGGGTCTCAGGTAGCGCGCCTCATGCATGCAGCTGCTCGTCCAGTTCTTACTGACCCTACTTTCTAACGCTCTGACGTGGCCTTACAAATTCAGGTAAATCTCCGAAAATATTTATCGGATTGACTTCAAATTTTCAGAGAATATACTCAAATATATGTACATTCCGAAAATGCAAAAAAAAAAAAAACGATTTTTTGAAAATTCTAACTGCGTATAACCCCTTAATTTAAGTGTACTTAACAGTAAACGTAAACCTAAAAAATTTACTATTACTATTACTATATTACTCATATTTTTCAAAGATAAAATCAATGTTAATCAATGTTAATAAGGCATCGAAAAAAGACCCGTCCATATAGTGCCTAATGAATTTTTAAATATCCGAGTTATCATATTTGATAAATATTATTATTATTATTATTAATTATTAATTATTCATTAAATGACAATTATCATTAAGCGTAACGAGACATGACTTGTGTGGTAGTAAATATTTTTTTTTTATTACTCATTCGAAATATTTAAGATGTATTTTATTTTAAATTTATTTAATTAATCGCACGGATTTAAGTATGTGTTATTTTTGTAAATACTTAACTAGGTAATTGTTCATTTATACCAGTAATCAACCTTTTATATTATATTTAATTTAATTAACTAATTATTACTATCAATATTTAATTAAATTGTTAATAATTATGTAATACCATCGCGACCAAAGTAATTAAGCGATTAAAATAAAAATTTATATTAAAAAAGACATAATTATTAAAGACTGAAATGTAAATCTTGTCATTCAATAAAAAAAAAATTTTTTTTTATATTGAACCAAGATGTAGAGTGTTTTAAGTTAATTCTTGAGAAAATTGATAAAGTATATACGAGTATAAGGATATAAAAAAAAAATATATGTATAGTAATTATTAAATTTAGACTTAATTTAGTCAGCGCGGATAAATGGCTATTGTTAAATGTACAAATAATTAATTAATTAATTAATGATAAAATACTTATTAAATTTTAACTATGTAGTGAATAGTTATTAACTAATATAATATATCTATATGTACATTATTTTATAATATATTAGTGTTTTAAATGTATCAACTAAAATTATTTGATTATAAAAATCCAAATATAAAAAAAAAATAACTTTACATATTTTTATTTACAAATTTACTATTTTATAATTAATTCAATTATAAATTTAAAAATTCCACATTAAATTTTTTTCCCGTTGATTTTTGACAATCTATCCCGAGAAACTCTGTCGAAAAATAAAAGTCCAGCGGCACGCTCAACACTCTCAGGAGGTACTTGAAAGTTTTTTAGCGGCGTGTCGTCGTCAATTGCCGTATTAGGCATAACATAAACTTCCATTTCTAATTTAGAATCATTAGTTTCGCAGACTATTACTTTAAAAAAGTGGGTCGGTACTGCCACGTGATTAGTACCTATTACCTCATACTTTACGTATTTTTTTCCATCGCCTTCTCGCCTGTAAAAAAAAAAAAAAAAAAAATAGTTAATTCAGAAAATTCTCAAATTGATCAATCAATCAAACTACTTTATAATTAATGACAAATTTAAAATTATAATTACTTTGGTAAGTAAAGAGGTCCAGTACAGACGTACACGTCTCTGTAAGTCTTAGTTAATTGTCTAACATATTTTTCCAAACGATTCCATGAATTTCTATTGAAACCAGGTCCAACTTGAGGAGCCATATTTGATAGGAAGAAAGTTTGCTGGATGTTTTTTTGTGAATTTTTGTGATTTCCAGCAGCTGCCAAGTGGCCACGATCATATCCACTTCCTTTATAATCAGCATTAGTTGACCTAATAAAAAATTTTCAAAGCTGGTCTTATTATTTTTTTTTTAATTTATAAAAATATTAATGACTGTTGAAAGTTTAATCACTGTAGCAAACATGCATACTTATATTCATTTCTATAGTCATCCAATTTAATGTGTTACTCATAAAAGTACCAATAGGGATTATTGTATTACTGCATACTTGTTAGCAATCAATCTTTGTTGAGCTATTAAAATGTTAGCCCGTATGACATTTTCTCCTTATTAATAAATTGTATTTGTAGCTATTTGCCAATTATTTACTCGTTTATTTATTGTATTATTCCTATAAATAATCAACAATGACAATTTTTTATTTTTTTTAAACAATAATTTTTTTTAAATAATCGCATTTATAATTTTTTAGAGCTTCTGAAGATGAAATTTTTTAAATAAATTTTTCTTTATATAATTTATTTTCTTAAAAGTATCAAATGTCTCTCAATTATGACATTAATTAATAGATACTTTTTTTTTTTTTTTTTTTTTTTTTTTTTTTTTTTTTTTTTTTTTTTTTTTTTTTTATAAACTGGGTCTAGAAAATTATTTTAAAAATATTAAATTTATAATTTTTTAGAACTTCTAAAGAATAAATTTTTCTTGCTATAATTTATTAGTTTAAAAAATTCAAAAAATTATTAGATGTCATAAATATAAAATTACCTGAAAAAAGGATGAATACTTTCATCAGCTTTAAATTCACAAGATGCTCGGTTGACATCATCACTACTTTTCAAATTATCTCTTGACAGATGTTCAAACACCCAGTGAGCTACACGGTTTCTTCTGTCATATGCCAGCACAAAATCATCAAATGATCTTATATTGTCCAAACTTGGAAATCCATATTTCATAATCTAAAAAATATGCAAATTATTATTAATGAAAATTAATTTAGCAGATATTCAGTAATTTTTTAACAAATAAATTATGATACTGAAGTTCGCCGACGTTTTTAATTTTTTGGTTTTTTTTTTTTTAATAATTAAATTAGAACAGAAAAATATTTTTTAAAAATTCCACTGCCAGTTTTTAAAGTTATTTACAGATGAAAATTTTTTTTTTTAATTTTTTGTAATCATTTTTTCAATAAAAAACAATTCTGAAAATTTTTAGATGTCGGCTAACTTAATTTTGATAATAAAATATGGCAAAAAAAATTGACATGTGGAAATTTTTAAAAATTATAAATGCAATTTTTTTAAAATAATTTTTTAGAAAAAATTTATTTGTTAAATAAAATAAAAAAATTATCAATTGACTGTTAACTTCAAAGTCATTATTATTAATGTCAGTAAATTATAAATAAATAAATATAACCTGTGAAACGCGTGACGTTGACACTTTGGAGCTGTCATTATCACTAGGTACCATCGGCACAGCAGCTGACACAGTAGCAAAAAAAGGTAGTCCTGGCATTTGTTTAATTTTTGAATTTTTTTCACTACTGTCATTGTTTACATATTTATAATTACGTTCGTAATATGTACCCGCGTACCAACCGCCAATACCCGCACTGGCGAGGGCCGATAATTTTGTTATAAAACTTTTCGCTGACATAATGAATTTAATTAAAAAATGACACTTTATATTAAACTTTTTACTTAAATAAAATGATTAAAAAAAAACTTAGTAAATATATATATTTATCTTCTTGAAGAAACCATGTGCTTATGTTGTTTTTATTGATGAAAATACAGATAAGACTTGAGCTGATAACTCACTCTGCTGGACGTTAAAAAAATTATAGACTTAGGCTCCCTCTTAGGAGCAGGTAAGTACTACAAAATAATTAATTAAGTCAACAATGTCATATTGTAGGAATGACATTAAAAATTTTTTTATAATTTTATTAAAATGAAATTATTATGAAAATAATAAAGTTAGCTGACATCTAAAAATTTTTATAATTTTTTTTATTAAAGAATTGTACAAAAAAATAAAAAAAAATTTTTTTCATTTGTGAAAAACTTCAAAAACTATAAGTGCAATTTTTTAAAAATATTTTTTAGTTATAAATTAATAAATGAAGCAAAATAAAAAAATCAAAAATGTCAGCTAACTTTATTTTCAAAAAAAATTTTTAAATTCCACGAGTGAAAATAAAAAAAAAAATTATTAGTGAAAATTTTTTTGAAGCATTTTTTATTGTAATTTATTTGTTGTAAAAATTTACAAAAACCGACAGCTGTCAGCTGACTTAGATTTTATAATTAATTGTGTAGGATTATATTTCACTTTTTATAAATTTATTCATTTGTCAATTTATTAAGTTTAAACAATTAAATAGATAAAATTAATTTAATTTTTAACAGATATGTTAATGACACTAAAATTGAAAGAAATCTAATAATTTTTTTAACAAATAAATTACAACAAAAAAAAAATTATTTAAAAAAAATTTCATCTTTAGAAGCTCTAAAAAATTATAAATGACATTTTTATAAAAATAATTTTTATTATTTTATTATTAACTAATTTTATATTTGAAGATGTTTAACTGATTTAAATTGAAGCATGTTATGTAGTGTGAAATTCATAGGTGCACGAAAAACTTTATAAAATTATAATATATATACATTAATATTATAATAATTTTTTCGATTACAGTAATTATAGAAAATATTTATTATTTTCAACTAATAAAGAAATAGTTATGTACATTTATAATTAAAGATGATGATAAAAATAGGAGACATCTAAAAATTTATTTTAGAAAATAAATAAAAATATCAAAGAAAAAGTAAAAAAATTTATCTAAAACCTTTTGAGGTTTTAAACTCTGTATTTAATTTTATTATTGAAGAGTGACTTGTAGATGTCTACTAAATTTATATAACAATTTATGAGTATAAATGTATTCTACATTAGACAATTTTTGAATTATAAATATTATATATCCAAAAAATAAAAAATTGTCCTGAGTGTGTAACATTCATACTCATTATAGTAAAAAAAAAAAAAAAAAAAAAAAAAAAAAAAAATGGAACAGTAATAGGTACAACAAATTAATCAGACTCTTCATCAGAATCTTTAGCGAGCACCAAATCATGGCCTGGTAACGAGGTAGGATCAAAAGTAGCCTGAAGGCACTTCTTAAAAATCATCCTGGCCTTTTTGCTGGACCTAGGAGGCGGAGAACTCGGAACAATATCGTCTTGTTCCATAGGTTGATCATCAAAATAATTTCCGTCATTACCACTGGTTCGTCTTTTTCCAGCTGGGGTGAAAATAGACGCCGAGGAAGCACCACTGAGCGTTCTACCCGATGGCGTGGATTGTTCAGAAAGAGTCTCTGCAATAAGACTAGATCGTCTTCTCCCGGAGCCGTCGCTGACGGGAACAGTTCGATCTGAGTCGTTGCTAGTGCGTGGAGACTTGACGGCCTTTTCAGCTATCGTTGGAACTTTCTTGCCCTTGGTCATCGGAGAGTTGTCAGTGTTGACCGACTGGATCATACTGCTACCAGCGACAGAGCTCACTTTAGATTTCTTCGCTGGCTTTTCTTTAGTCTTTGATGACTTAGTGCCTCTTTGCAAGGCGCCACGTTTCTTCACAGCTTGTCTTCGGTTGTGGATCGACGCATCCGAGAGTCCTGAGTTACCCAGGTCTGGGTTTATTGTTGATAATACTAGGTTTGCTTCGAATGATATGTCTTTCAGTATGAAAACAACTGGTCTATAATTTAATTTTAAATAATTATTTTGTATTATTTAATAATTAAAAATTATACAAACAAAAATTAGCAGCCATTAAAATAAAATTTTTTTTTTATAATTTAATGATAAATAAAAAAATTTTTTTTTTAAATTGCACTTAAAATTTTTTCAAATTTCCTGCGTATGAAATTTTATAAAAATATTTTTACACGCTTTATATTAGCTTCACTTGTAGGTTTGTTTGTAACAGTTACTTATAGTAATCACGGAATTAATAGTAGATTGAAATAAATAATAGTTTAAAATAACTAAAAAATATGCTTTTATAAATAAACCAAACTAAAAAATAAATAATAATTTAAAAAAACTAAAAAACACGCTTTATATAGAAAATCAAACTAAAAAAAATAAAATAAATATTCTATTTTTTAAACAATACACTGAACCCTACAGCAAAGCCATTAAACGGGTTCCATTAAAAAAAAAAATAACAGTTACATTGTATTTAACAATAGTACTTATAAGTAATAGTACTAATAGTAATAAGTCCGTATTTAGTTTAACAAGTAAGTACATAAAGTGTCGATTTAAATATAAATTAATAATAGTCTAAATAAAAAAAAAAAAAAAATGTATTTTATTGTAAAAAAAGCGAGGGGTGCATAGTGTTAATAGTTATAAATATCTTAAAAAGCACCCTACGTTTTTTTTTTAAATAAAATACATTTTTTTTCCTATTTACACTATTATTAATTTATATTTATTAAAATTCATTTTTTTTTTTTTTTGCTGAATGACTAATATAAGTAGATGAATAAATAAATAGTTAGAGTATTAATAACAATAATAATAATAATAATAATAATAATAATAATAATAATGACAACTAAAGGAATTTTTTTTTGTAAGTATTAGAGTCGATTGACGTCATAAGCTTAAAAAAGCACTCTCATTCAAAATTTAAAATTAAAAAAAAAAAAAAAAAAAAAAAAAAAAAAAATATTTTATTAAAATTCAGTTTTTTTTTTTTTAGTTTGGTTTTAAACTATTATTTATTTTAAAATAATTTTTTTGATAAAAAAAATTTTTAGATGTCTGCTAATTTTATTTTAATTATTTAAAAATATTTTTATACCTTCCAGCGACTTCAAATAATAAGTGAAGCGGTCTTTCAACCAACTCAGCTATAGACATTATTGGACGAACTTCCTTCATACAAAATGTAACACAAGCATCTTGACCTATTGTATATGTATCAAATTCACCAACTGCTAAAGCGAGTTGAGTACGTGTTAAATTTGATAAGTCTGTAATAATTTAATTAATTAATTACCTTTAAACGATTTTATTTACTTAAAATATAAAACTTACTAGAAGTGTCATTGACGTAATTCCTGAGTAATATTTTGTCTGATGAGACATCTAATGTTATTTCAGTTAAATTTTGCTGAAAATTTTGTACCGCGTCTGACAAAATTTTCGGCTGAACTATCAAATGATTTGGAACATTATCTTTATTGTACGAAGCCTGTAAATAATTTTACGATTAGTACTTAAAGAAATTGAAAGATTTATTTTTTATTACCTGTAAATTTTCACAATTTAAAATTGCTAAGAGAAATGTTTTTCGTACACTGTTTTTATAGTTAAGTACAATGATAAGTTTTGTTGCATTTGCTTGCAATTTAATGTGACAGGTCTCTACTAATTTGTCCATTAGATTAGGTGTTTTAAATGCGCTCATTGCTGCCTGAAAAAATCAAAGATAATAACAAAAAATAAACGAAAATTTATTTTTCAGATATTTTATAATTTTAAGAATTTTTTTAACAAATAAATTATGGCAAAAAAAATGAAGAAAAAAAATTGACATGTAGAAATTTTAAAAAATTAAAAACGTAATTTTTTTTAAATAAATATAAAAATTAATTTAGCAGGTGTTTAATAATTTTAAGAATTTTGGTGACAAATAAATTATTGCAGAAAAAAAATTGACACGTAGAAATTTTAAAAAATTACAAATGCAATTCTTTGAAAATATTTTTTCGGATAAAATTTTTTTTTTTTAATAAAATTAAAAAAAGATCAGATAATTGCTAACTTTACAAAAATTAATTTAGCAGATTTTTAATAATTTTTGTAGGAAATAAATTATGGAAAAAAAAATTATAAACGAAAAATTGACATGTAGAAATTTAAAAAAATTAAAAAAGGCAATTTTTAGAAAATAATTTTTTGAAACAAATTTTTTTGTAAAAAAAAAAAAAAAAATTAAAAAATGGTCATGTGACGGCTAACTTTAATATCATTTTAACTTTATGTCATAACAAAAAAAAAACAATGACAGCTGATAATTTATCAAGCAACTTACTCTCATAGAAACTTTGCATTTAGACGCATCATCTTCTTCCAAATTACCGAAATTGTAGTACGAAAAATATTGATCATTAAATGTAAAGTCACAGTACGCTGAATTAGTCATACTGACAGTGCGAAATGACAATGATCTCTCTTGAGGTAGTACATATAATTCTTCTCCTATTTTTCCAAGTGCGTGTATTGCTCTTGCCAATACTAGAAAAAAATTATTTTTTTCACAAAAAATTTATAAACTCAAATTAAAATACTAGATAAATATTTTTCCGAGTAAAAAATAATAAAAATTAACCTAAAATAAAAAAAAACTTACTTTTCACATTGGTACCAGGTATGACACATTTCATTTTATATAAACACTTTTTAATTTCACAAAAAATTTACTAAAATTAAAAACCAATTATTAGCCGAATAAATAAACAAATAAACACATAAAATTATCTAAGTTAAGTAGAAAACGTAAACATGTTGACATTTTTTCCCGCTCTGATGAATTGATCAGAATATCATTTCAGAGTTTAAAAAATTTTAAGCTGCCCTCTGTGTGCAAATATTTAAACTACAAAAGTATATTTTATTAGCTGCCGAAGATAATGACAGGACTGTTTGCAGAGTACCACCCCCTGTTTTAATCATATAACACATATAACCCTTACAATTGTCATCTCGAAAATAATTGATAAATAATTACATATATAAATGCAGTAATTTTTTAAAATTTACCAAGAAATTTTCAGTAAATAATTAATCATGGTGAGTAAAGGATCAAGTGTGTGATCGATTATTATTTAGTTGGATAAATGTGAATATTGACAATTTAGTTAAATGTAACCTTGTTGTCACAAGTTTAATTATTGATCAATTGTTATTAATTATTTATTTTCAGCTTGTATTAGTACTTGGAGATTTGCACATTCCTCATAGATGCAGTAGTCTGCCGAGTAAATTTAAAAAATTGTTGGTACCTGGAAGGATCCAGCATATTTTGTGTACTGGCAATCTTTGCACTAAGGAGTCTTATGATTATTTAAAAACACTCGCGAGTGATGTTCATGTTGTCAGAGGTGATTTTGATGAGGTAAATCTCCTAAATTTTTTTTATTATTCATTATAAATTTATTTTTTAAAAGTGTAATTTTATGATACTGAAAAAAATCAGACATTTTACACTTTTTAGATATTTTTTACAAGATACTAGGGTAAATGTAATGTTCCAGTAGTTGACCGCTTTCATAAAAAAGTCCGAAAATTATTATTAACTGCATTTTTTATGACCCTGAAATTTATTTTTAACTATTGTTGAACTTATAATCATTACAATAAATAAGTATTCCAGATTTTATTTAATTTTTAGAACATCGAAAATAATTCATGAAAATTTTTCACCACATACATGTTTTAGTTAACAAAAAAGTTTCTATTAGGTTAATCTTGCTAAATTAAATTCTGAAGTAGTCTTTAATAGTTTCTTAACAAATCTCTCAATAAGATTTGACAAAAACAATCAAGTAAATACCAATTCAACGACCGGTCAGATACTGGCACAATAAAATACCGTTGTACCATCAATAAATGACTTCGGTCATCTATTGGAACCTGCTATTTTTCAAAACACCAATAGTTGACCGCATGCACAATTGTAAGTTTCTAACCTATATAAAATAATAAAAATATAAATATGTTTACGTGATAATATTATGTTTACATAAGTGTTGTTATTTAAAATAATTTATAATTATTAAATTATTAGTAATAAAGAAGTATTTATGCTTATTGTTTAATCTGTTTCAAATAAGATGATTCAAGTCAAGTTGAGTCAAGTTTAAATTTGTACACCGATAGAAGGATTTATTAGCTATTAATAATTTAATTTATTTAGGAGAATAGAGTACATTTGTTAATAGTTAATAAGTATTTCTTTATATTTAACCAATATTTATTAACAGTTAATAAATATTTTGTTAAGTGAATTTGTGTTTCGCTTGCAATGTCATACTTGTGTTGACTCTAGATTGCTTATAAACAAAAATCATCTTTACAAATTATTTACATTAATTACATTATTTTATAATAACGTTTACTGTAACATAACAAATTTTATCACAGCTCATAATTATCTTTTATATTTTAAAATATTAAGAACGTTAATTTATTTAGTGAATTGAATTATTATCATGCATTAGCTGTAAGGTTATAAAAAGTGTCAAAAGAAAATTGCTATTTTTGCTTTTCATTTTAAATAAATATTTGTTAAAAGTTAACAAATATTCATTAACAGTTAATAAATCTATTTCATAAATAATTTATAAACTGTTAATAATTGCATCTGTTGCTTTTTTATTATTATTAGTTTTGTTCTAAACTTAACGAATTTTGTTTACTAACAACACAAATCTAATTTAAATAAATAAGCATAAAAACTTTATACATTAAACATAAAAAACTAATTAAAATTTACAAAATAACCAATGTTTGATAATCGGTCAACTACTGGAACACTCCGGTCAATTTACTGGATCAAGCCGGTCAACTACTGGTGTTTTTTTATCTTACCTGCATTTAAACGTGAATTTATATGTAATTTTATTAATAATTATTTTAAATAACATCACATATCAAAAACTTGAATATTTAAGGTTCATATAAACTTAAAATTTTTAATTTTTAGCGTATAATAATTTAATTATTATTTCAGTAAAATTATTGTAAAAAAAAATAGAGTGGAAATTTTTAAATGCTTTTTTTTTTTTTATGGTAATTGATTTATTATAAAAATTAAAAAATTTACGGTTGTCAGTTAATTTCAGTATTATATTTTTTAACAACTGAAGTATTAAAAAAAGTATTTACTTTGAGAAATTAACAAAATTATTTAAATTTTTATTCTAAAAATTTAATAAACAATTTCAAAAATTATTTCCAACTTGCAGAATCTCAATTACCCAGAACAAAAAGTCGTGACAGTCGGACAATTTCGAATCGGTCTATCTCACGGCCACCAAGTAGTACCCTGGGGCGATCCAGAGTCATTAGCGTTAATCCAGCGACAATTGGACGTCGATATTCTCATAAGCGGCCACACGCATAAGTTTGAAGCTTACGAGCATGAAAATAAGTTTTACATAAACCCAGGATCTGCTACTGGCGCTTACAATCCTCTTGACACGTAAGTAATCAACTCTCTCTTTTATTATAACTTATTTTTTTATTTTTATTTACCAACCTGTCTACTTTTTACTGTCTCTAATAAGTTATACAATTTTTTCTCGTAATTTTATTAAATAAAAATCTATAAAAAAATTATTTTTAAAAATCTATTTAAATTATTTATTAACTAGCTTCCAGTAATATAATATAATTTTTTTTAAGAATAAATCATGAAAAAAAAATTTATTAAAAAAATTCCACAAGTAAAATTTGTAAAAAATAATAAATGCAATTTCTTCAATTAATTTTCTAGAAGTAATTTACTTATTTATTTATTGAATTTAAATGCCAACACATAAAGCCAAATAGCAAGAAATACATAGAATTTTATTTCAGTAAATGTTTGAGTAAATAAAAAATTTAGCACAGTCAGAAAGAGTAGCATGGTTATAATTTTAAATATCTTAGTATATATTTGTAAAATAAAATTCACAAAATATTTTTTTTTCTGGAACGAAATTTCTATTTGATTTTATTGATACATTTTTTTTTTTTTTTGTAAAATATATAAAAAAATGAACAATTTAAAAAAAAAAGTTGATTATCACAATTTCAATAAATTTTCAAAAAAATTTTTAAATTTTTAAAAAATTATGATATTCAACTATTTTTTTTTTTTTTTAATTGTTCGTTTTTTTTACGTACTTTTAAAAAAAATATTATTATTTATTTTCTTAAGTACATCTTTTACAGAAAAACTTTGATACTCTCCCATCCCATGTTACATTAAATCACATTTACATCATGTCCCTTATTTAAATAGAATTCTGCATATCGTTAAATCAAAAATATATTTAATTTCAGATCAGTCATTCCTTCATTCGTGCTAATGGACATTCAAAGTTCAACAGTGGTCACTTATGTTTACCAGTTGGTTGGCGACGAAGTTAAAGTCGAGAGAATCGAATACAAAAAAAGCTAAACCAACCACATTAATTGTTAATTAAATTTATACATAAAAATGAATTTAAATTTAAATTTAAATTCATACCAAGGGAAGCACTTATAATCCTAAAAATTAATTATTTTAATCACTTTATAAAAGATCTTGTAAATAACTTTAAGAAAAAAAAAAAAAATTATAAAATAAAAATTTAAAAATAACTATTTACTGAAAATAATATTAAATATACGAACTATTAAATTGTAAACAGAAATATCCTTGATATAAGTCCTTGATATCTGTTTACAATTTATTGTAAAACCGATTACGATAGTTGAACTTTTCTAGTACCAGTTTGTTCAATCGACTCGGTCGAATAAATTTTATTTTATTGAGCGATACTTGCAAAAAGTCACGTACACGATAGAATGTACGTCAACCAGTTTGTTTACTGCAAATCAAAAATCATTAATGACGCCTGCTAATTTAATAACTCATTAATTATAATTTAAAACTGATAATAATGACGTTTAAATTAATCTAATTTATTTAATTTTTTTTCCCAGACGGAGGTCAAGATCTAGAGACATCAATGCTCACAAGAGCCGATAAAAAAATTATTAGTCTATTAATAGCTGGATGCAAGTTTAAATATTATCTGTAAAAAATCATAATTACTGTCCCCAGATATTTAAAAGCGCAATTGCGACGCCAATGATACGATGGGCTTGGTGAAAATAAAAAAAAAATAAACAATAACACAAAGAAGATAAAAGGGAGTACATTTAATACTATATACGCATGCGTAGCAGATAAAGTGGGAGAACGCCGCGGGTTTAATAAAAAGGATACTGTCCGCGTATTTACGATTAGTTTTGTACACAATTTACTGCCGATCATTACCGATTTACTTTTGTAAATTTATAAAAATATAAATAAACAAATAATGGCTTCAGCATTTTTAAGACGCGGATTGCAGTCCGTTATTTCAAAGAGTGTTAACATCGATAAGCGAGTTTTGCCGAAAACGATCGCTTTATTTGCCGATCAAAGACCCATTAAACAGGTAAATATTTTTTAGATATTTATCTGTTTATCGGTATCAATATTTACACATATTTATTGTTAATGTTATAATTATAGTTATTAAAATTATATTACCGATCGTGGTTTTATTAATTTAATGCAGTTTTTTTTTATATTAATCCCTAAAATATGACTGCAGATGAAAACATTGTAGTCATCGAGATTTAAGTTGAAAACATCAGGTTTTACTGCGCAAAATATGTTGGAGAAGGGTCGTCCCCTTTCTTTAGCCGGTTGCGTTGCTATGGACTGAAAAAAAAAATCGGAAAAAAATAAAGAAGGCTCCAGAAGCTTTAACACGCCACTTACATATGCAGTTTTTATAATAATAATAATAATAATAATAATAATAATAATAATAATATTTTTATTTTACCTACTTGATTGAGATAAAATTTGGATTTAATCCAAGGTGATCGACATCGGTATGAAAATCCTTCGATCGCAGGTTGTTTTTAACGAATCTCATTTTTAAAATTTGAATTTTAAATCAAGTGCTCTGAAAAAGGTCGTGAGTCAAGTAAACTTTGTAAAAAATTCATTTGAATTAGTCCCCGATTGAGAAATCTAATTTAAAATTATTCAATCTATGCTAAGTGTATATATCTAAATGTCAATCAAAAAAATATTTCATTTAAGTTAGCAGTCACTTGAAAATTTTTTAATTTTATTTACCAAACAAATTTGTTCCGAAAAATTATTATAAAATGATTGCATTTTATATTTTTAAAAATTTCTAAATGTCAATTTTTTTTTCTCATTTTTTTGCCATAATTTATTTGTTAAAAAAATTCTTAAAATTGTCAAATACCTTCTAAATTAAATTTAATCAAAAAAATTGTTTTTAATGATTTAAAATTAGATTTATTAATCAAGGGTGCGTCTTTATTATAATTGTGTCTCTCATATCTGTAATCATGTTGATATAAATCGCGATTTATGAATCATAATTTTTTACTTATTTATTCATATTCCTACTTGTCATATTATCTTATAATTTTTAAAAACATGAAATACAAAATTAATTAAATAAAAATAACAATATTTGTGGTGTAAAAATTAAAAAATTTATTTTTAAATTCAAATTTTAAGAATCAAAAAATCTCTATTAATTTTAAAAAATAAAAATTAATTTATCAGATATTTGGATAATTTTTAGAATTATTTTTAACAAATAAATTACGGCTAAAAAAAAAATTAGAAAATAAAATTGACCTTTGAGAAATTAAAAAAAAAATTTTAAATGCAATTTATTTTAAATAATTTTTAGGGATAAATTTTTTTGTTAAATAAAATTAAAAAATAATCAATTGACTGGTAACTTTAATGATAATATTAAAGTTAGCCGATGTTTTTGATTATTTTTCATTTATTAAATTAGAACTTAAAAATTGCACGTAAAGATTTTCAAATTAAAAAAAAAAAAAAAACTTTTTTAATTTTTTTTGCGATAATTTTTAATGAAAAAAATTATAAAAATTTTTAGCTGTCAGCTGACTTAATTTTCATCATTTAATGTTATTTTTACAAAATACGATTACAAAATTAAAATATAAAAAAAAATATGAAAATCAAGTTAGCTGACATTTCAAAATTTTTAGAAATTTTTTATTGAAAAAATTTCAATTAAATAGTTAAAAAAAAAATTGTCACATGTAAAAAACTTGAAAAACTGTAAGTGCAATTTTTTAGAAATGTCTTTTTAGTTGTAATTTAATTTATAAAAAAAATCAAAAATTTTTACACGTCTTCTAACTTCAGTGTCATAAAAAAATTAATTTCATGCGCTCAAGTTAAATTTAAAATTTAAATTTCCGCGGCATTTTTCCGCTCGGCCGGTGGCGCCCCTATCGGATTCCATTAGTACGACCAATTTGAATCTTGAGTATCAGTCTAACGAACGCGCGCGGTACGCGAGGATGCCTGGTAGCCTAGAGCTCCAATTTCCGTCAGAAAACATATCAATTGTGATTTAAATAATATTTATACCAACTATTCACCATAATCATGTCAGTGATTACAGTAAGTGAGTAATTAAAAGTGTAAATAAATATAAAATGAGAATGACATATCACCTTACAAGTGGCTGTACCTGAGTATGTTGTGATTTATCCAGCAAGTCATGCGGATACGCGCGTGGCTGAGAATTTTTACACTCGAGCCGTTCTTTTGTTTTTGGTAAGTAATCAAAATCACTCTCGGGTGTTAATAAAAAACAATCTATCTTGATTAATAATAATAATAGTAATAATAGTAATGCTGATGATTGTGGTGCAGGTTTTATTAGGATTTTATTGTGATAGATGAATGCCGTCTGTTGATCAAAGGGTTTGCTGCGGTGGACTTTCCAGCAAGCCCTTTACTTTTTTTCACTTTTCCCAGACCCTTGATCGAGGAGCATCGACGACACTCGAGTAGTCGATGGTATAGCACATAGGACATCCGACACGTGCCAGGTAGAGGGAGAACAAAAAGTGCATGACGTAAGTCAATGCAAAAATAACAAAAAGGTTCGAGTACCGCTAGTGTGTTATATAAAGTGTATGCGACAATGCTACTACTCAAAAGTAATATTGTAAACCGACAGGCGGTGCCTACTTGGACACGTTATTCTTTTAATGCCTCTATTACGAGGAGGAATAAAAAGTTTAAGACCGGGTACGGCTAGCCCATAAATTATTTAAAACTCCAGAGGTATGAGGTACGCGTTATAAATTAATGCAGCAAGTCACCAATTAAAGAGCGCGTGTTTAAATTTTTAATTATTATTGTTAGTGTTGGGAGGATTTTTACTCACAAGGCTTGCAGGTTTAATGAGTTCAATTTCGAGCAATGGGACAATTATGCATCTTGATGATGCTCTGTGTCCTTTCGCTTAACTCGCTGTAAGCTATGTCGTTTACTTTGTACTCCATGACCAAATTAGGCAATTCGAAATCTGTGTAACGCAGGTTTATTTCGTAATGGTACTTTGATAAATTATTGTTGAGATTTGGGAGATTGTACACGGAAAAAAGTAAACTGTAATAAATAACAGTCGATTTATAATAAGTAATGATCTGTAATGATAATAAGTAATGATAAGTAACTGCTAAAAAATACCATTTCAAACAGTAAAATCGTGATTTTACTATTCACTTTATAATATTTACCATTTAAACGTTACAATTTACTCTTTACATGGAAGAAAATACTATTTCAAACAGTAATATTCGCTATGCAAATGTGTAAAATGTTTAAGTATAATAATTAAGAATTCACACTTTAATATTTATCATTTCGTACCTAAAAAATGATCTTATGATATGTAAAAAGTATAAAATAAAGTTAGTAAATTTCTAATACTAGTAACGTCAATATTTACAAAGTAAAATGGTAAATTTTAAACGCAACGTTAAAAATCAAACTGTAATTATTGACTTGCTTGGACTGGTAATATGTATATTTTAAAAGTATAATTTTTACTGTTTCAAATGTTAAATTCTCCCAGAGTGAGACCCCCTTTTCTTTCATCTGAGTTCCCCTTCTCCTCATAATATGGACTATATATTGAAATGGAAATTTTTACTGTTTAAAACTGTCATTTTTTAAGATGAAAGAGTCGTTATTTACTATAGTGACAACTATCACTTATTTTGGATATTAAACTATAAATTGTGGCTTTTATACTTTCTACATTAAGTTCTGTAATATTTATCTTTTTACCACCTCGATGTCCGCTTTACTGTTTGAAACTATAAAAATTAACCGGAATCCGAGTGAATATTACAGTTTATTTTTTTCCGTGTAGCTTTGATTTTGGGTGATGATTAGGGATATCAAAAAATTTTTTTTTAATTTAAGAATTACAAGTGAATTTTTATTTTTTTGTTGACTGTTTTGGAATTTTAGGATTATTTTTTGTGATAAAAATTACATTTTTTTTTTTTTTTTTTTTTTTCTCCAATTACTGTGGTATATATGAAGA